GCCCCAAAGACTTCCCCGTGAATGTCCTACCATGCCTGAAGCTGCTCCGTTAGCCATCCTCCTGTCTAACGCTCTGCCCTGAACAGGTTTTTAAGCGGCATCACTGACCTCCAAAAATCAGGTACTTGAGGCTGCGCAGGGGTCATAAGCTGAATCACATCAAAGCCAGGCCTCAACATCAGGCTGAGAGGGGCTCCGGGCACGGGAAGAAAGGCACGTGCATCAGTGGAAGGGGTGAGCAGATTGCAGCCATGTGGGAACAGAAGCCTGGGGTAAACACACTTTCCGATTTTTATGAGAAAAGCCAAACATCCAGGTTTTTAGGTGAAACCCTCAGATTTTGGAAATTCAAACATTTTGAAACCCTGGACGGGTCAAACATGACACATCAATGGGTCATGCTAGGTATGGTCCCAGTGAGCAGAGGATTGACTTCTGGAGGCTTAGAGTGGGCAGGGGACAGGAAGGCAGGGCAAAGTTCCAGAACCCACAGCTTCTTGGGGAGTGTGGCTCTGGGCAAGTTGGCCTCAGGCCCACTCCAACTTCTCTACCTGGCACCAAGAGACATAGCTCAGTGCCGACCATTGAACTGGCCATGACAGGCCTGCGGACACAAGCAGACCACCCCCACCAATGGCCTCTGTGGAGTTACTGACCAGTGTTGGAGGTTGCAGAAACTCCGCCTCCAGACATCACAGATGTCACCCTCCCCCAAGTCCTTTGCAGACAGCTAAGGCCATGACTGGAAAAAGGGCCTGCAAGCTGGTCTGTGCTCAGGTTTGGGAAGAACTGTCCATCTGGACTCCACACCCCCATCTGGAGTCTCAGGTCTTCCGTCTCTAAAATGGGAAGGGAATTCTAGCCCTACTATGATGTGTGGTTGACCAAACTTTCACTGGTTTCCAAGGAAAGAAAACAAAACAAAAACAAAAAGACAACACAATGAGGTTTTTTTTTTCTTTTTAACTTCTTTTGGTTTTTCTTTAAACAGTAAGGGACTGCAGTTTTCTATTCTTTTTCTAATATACTTATTTAGCAAAATTAAAAGTTGGCGATGCTGTGTTGCTTTCCCAGACTTTTATTTGAAATGTGACTGCTTTGTAAAACTCCAGAGTCAAGGACTCATAGGCAGGAGGATGTCATACATTAACAGGAAAGGATGAGAAATCTCCACTCCCTCCCTTCTCCCTCCCTTCATCGCTCATTCCCTCTCTTCCATTCATTAACCACCCACTATGTGCCATGCCCTAAGGAAGCTCCACTACGTGCCACGCCCTAAGGAAGCAGTTATCTAAGAAGTCCCTGCCCGCAGGGGCTTTATAGACCAGGAGGAAGGCAACCCACAGAGCCAGGATCCTGATAACCACTGCTGATTGACCCTCTGCCTAGGCACCAGCTAAGATGGCTCCAAAAAGTGAGGCCTTGTTGGGAAAGAAAAAAATAGCAAAGGTCAGCTTGGATGAACCCACCCAGAATTTTGCGATCAGAAATATCTGGAAAAGAGTTATTCTAGAAGAGCAGGGGGATGCCAGGGCTTGGGGATGAGAAGTGATGTTTTTGTTGCTTAGGGTCCCTGAAGGTCTTGGTCCTCCTGCTCAGAAGCCCAGGGCGTCCTGGGTTGCCTCCTCCAGAGATTGCCCTCGGTCCCTGGCAGTTCCTTCAAGGCTGTTGTACTTTAGTCCTTCTTCTAAGCCTCGAATGCTCCTCACTACCTACCTCTCCCCCTGATGTGGAGGCTGGGGAAAGGCTCTCTGAAGGATCTGACCAGATGTGACCCCAAAACAAACCCTACTAGGGGCACAGCAGGGCCCCCATAACCTTGGAACCAAGCCTGAGTTTGTAGTACAGCAAAATGAGACAGCTGGTAGTTGCAACAAGCTCTAGTCCCCAAAGCTGGCCTTGACCAAAGGCCCCCAAGCAAAGTGGGAAGATTGGGAAGAGAAGTTTTTATGAAAGCCACTCATATCTCCCTAATTTCAGACCTTAGTCCTGAGCCAGGGGAGGGAAGAGAGTGTGTGGTCCATGCACCAGGGGCCACTGTGGACCCACCCTAGTTGGAGGACCTTAGGGGTCTTTCGCAACCTGTAATCTTATGATAAAGGAGGAGAGCTGGGTTTTCCAGAGGCCAGATGACAGGGCAACTAGAGAAAGAACTCAGCCCAAACACAGAGGGCTCTTACTAAATCCACCAGCCTCATCCTCTGTGCTGCTTGCTCTAACATCCAGGAAGTTTTTGGAGGTCCCCGGTGGGGCAGGGGGCAGGTGGAGCTGTCTCTGCCTCCCCTACCACATTAATGCACATCCTCCTCAAGGCAGGGCCACTGGGATTCCACCCCACATGCGCCAAGGCACAGGCAATGGGACTCTCAGACTGTGGTCTGTGGGTCCAACCACACCACCATTTCCTGGAGGTGCGAAGCTTGTGAAAAAAACTGATCCCTGCGCCTCACCTCTGACCCACCTCAGCTCATCTCTGCGGGTGGGCCTGGTATCTGCATTTCACATGCTCCCTGGGGGATTCTTACGACCCCTGACGTTAGGTATTTCCCTCAAATCGGGCCGTCTGAGGTCATTTCGGGGAAAAAGCAAACATCTTGACGCCTGGGCCACATCCCAGACCCACCACTCAGCATCATCAGAGGTGGGACCCCCTGCACCAGTATTCTGTGAAATCTCCCCAGGTGATCCGACGCATTCAGGGGATGAGAACTGCTGGTGTGAGCATCCCCTCTGCCTCCCTGAGCCACCGCCAACAGGCTGGTCAGTGCCAAAGTCATGTCTAAAGGGCCTCATGTCTAGATAGGGATCTGTGCCAGGCTCATGGGCTAAATGTACCAGGATTCTTCTACTTTGTGGGAGACAGTGGAGAGAAGAGGAATCCCATTGGCTGGTCAGCCGGAGACAGGGAGTCTCTGCCAGGCTCTGCCATTTCCTCCCAAGAGTCGTCGTCTGCGACTGGCAAATGGGTCTCACCTATTTCCCCTTCTCATGCTGGAGGCAGATGCTAGGTATAGAAAGCCCTTTGTAGGGAAATACATAAATTAGGAAAATCATTTGGGTTGTGGGCCCAAGGACTGCTGGTTTGGGAGATGATGAGACCGAACACCAGATCAGAGCCCCACACAAAGGTCCGGACTGTGGCAAGTGATCAAACTTTTCATGACTGCGGAAGGGTGTCCCGAGCACAGGTTTTAGAAATTAATAAAGCATGTGGCTGAAACATCTGTCTTTGCTCTGCAAAACGAGGCCCTGCACACATCTGGAGAAGGGGTGTGTGTTGGGGGCTGGGTGCAGCTGGTCTGGGGAGGCCGAGGCAGGGGCCAGGAGGGCGGGTGCTGGGGCGTGGCTGGACGAGGGGCAAGGCTGAGTTGGGGTCTTTCAGGTGTGCAGTGACTAGGTGTCTGCTGTGTGGCAGGCAGCATCATCTTTAAGGAGGAGGGGAGGGTGGTGGGTGGCGGGCGTTCACAGCCTGCTGGCACCGAGCACCTCTCAGGGGTCCCCTTTCATTCCTGAGAGCACTGACAGGCCTCAAAGAAGCCAGGTTATTAGTGCTGGCATCTGACAGACACACCAAGGTGCAGGCAGCCTTCCCCTCCTACTGCCACACTTTGGAGGCTGCCTTCCCTCTAGCCCAGTAATGATTTGATGTCTAAACACAGAAAACAGGGCTGGAGGAGTGAAAGAAACTGCTCCTCGCTGTTTCCTTTGCCAAAAAGTGTAATTAGCACGGCTGGATGTGAAGTGCAAGAGTCCCCTAGGCTCCTGGCCCCCGGGCACTCCCAGGAGATGACAGTAGGCCCCAGTGGCTGGGATCCTCACCTGGCTGTCTGCCTTAAACACACCCAGTCCTCGGTACCCAGTGACAGATCAGCAGAAATTGGCATCCTCTCGCCAGGAGTCTCCCCAGGGGAACCCCCATGCTCAGAGCTCAGGGGATGGGGCAGTGGCAACTGCTCCTCTGGAATGGCCTTCAGAAGATTTGCAAACAAGACCAAACCTCTCACCCGTGCCAGCCTGCAGGAAAATGTGCTCAAAACCTCACCAGCAGCCACGGTTTCCCCTTCTAGTTTTCCCTCTTTCCTTCCTTCCAACCTTCCTCCCTCTCTCTTTCTTCTTCCTCTGATTCCTCATTATTCAGTATAACCTCTTTATTTATTTATTTGAGATGGAGTCTCACTCTGTCACCCAGGCTGGAGTGCAGTGGTGCAATCTTAGCTCACTGCAATCTCTGCCTCCCAGGTTCAAGCAATTCTCGTGCTTCAGCCTCCTGAGTAGCTGAGATTATAGGTATGCACCACCAAGCCTGGCTAATTTTTTGTACTTTTAGTAGAGATGGGGTTTCACCATGTTGCCCAGGCTGGCCTTGAACTCCTGACCTCAGGTGATCCACCCAGTTTGGCCTCCCAAAGTGTTGGGATTATAGGCGTGAGCCACTGTGCCCGGCCAGTATTACCTCTTTTAGAGGTCATTTACAATCACATCAAAATGGAAATCACACTTGCTCTTGAACTCTGCAGTTCCATGTGGACACTTTCTGTCGCCTGTCTCCTGCCCGTGGGCACTGGGAGAGCTGTGTGCAAGGACTCTCAGCAGTGTTCGCCAGAGCCTGGGATGAGAGATGACCCTTATGACCACCAGGAGGGGATGGGGCAAGCTGGTGACAGCACCTCTAGCACAGAAGGCCGAGCAGCTGTTAGAGAGTAGAGGGCAGAGCTCTATGATCTAGGGAGGGAGATCTCCAAATATATTCAGTTACTGAAAAAAAATAGCATAAGTATGAACACTATGCTCCTTGTGTAAAAATAAAAGGGTGGGGTGAGAAGAGGATTAAGCGGTAACTGCAGGGTTCCCCGTCCCCCACCCCCTTAAAAATAGATCCGAAATAAATATTGCAAAATGTCAGCATTTGTAAATTCTGGGTGGTGAGTTCACAGTTACTGTTTCACAATTTTCTGTTTCAAACTTTGTGTTTGAAATACTTTAAAAATTAACAAAATGCATATGGGGAGATATAGAAATGCATTTATTCTGGTAAAGAACAGCTAACACTTTCATAGTGCTCACATGGGCCAGGTACTCTCACGATCCCCGCCTTTATAAAGGAAAAACTGAGGCACAGTATTTCAGTTGAAGCACAGAGCTACAAAGAGGCCTTAAACACACCCAGTCCTCGGTACCCAGATGGTCAGGATTCGAACCCAGCAAGCTGGCACCAAAGTCTGTGCTCACAACCCCTACACTACACTGAGGGGCCCTAGGCCACACCCAGAAAGTTGGCATCAGGGATGCTGGCGGGCCTGGGATAGAGGGAAGTTTACTTTTTACTGTGTACCTTGTGTATGTACTATTTGAATCTTTTACATGTGCACGTTACTATTTTTTTAAATAATGTTTTTAAAGCTGGGAAAGTCCCAGTTACCAAGAAGTAACAGAATCCTGATAGGTGTGGAGCTTAGGGAGGCAGAGGAACTGCTCTAAAACCAGTAGTTTCAACTCCCGGCTGGCCTCCAGGGTTGCAGCAATTCGGAACCTGGGGCGCCATTACTTCCTCTCCGGTCTGCACCCCTCCACTCCTGTCTTCCGGTATAGACCCCCACCCCCTTGCGGGCAGGTTGGCCATGTGGCCCCAGCTGGGATGTCATGATTGGTCCAGCTATGGGCACCAGATCTAAGCCCAGCCAATCAGAATCCTGCCTTGGGCTTTACACTAATGGAAGGTCCTTTTCCTTATGGTTAGGGGACCCAGAAGGCCAACAGTCAGGGCTCCCTGACAAAGCATGTAGTTGAGTACCAGTATCAATCCGAGGGACAAGAGGGAGGGACAAGAACCAGTCTCAGCTGAGTTCACATCCTGGACTCTTGTCATCTCAAAGCCAGTTCCTTCCCTGCCTTCCAACTTGGTTTCATTCACTTTGGATTGAGTTGACTTCTCACTGACAGAAACCCACAACCCACAACCCAAAACAAGGGCAGCCCATGGCCATGATTAAGCTCTGCACCAGTGGCGAAGGGATCGAGTGGAAGACCAGAATCCCAGCTCTGCCCTGTGTGTGGCCTCAAGGGAGTTACGAACTTCTGAGCCTTAGACATGCTCCCTGAGCTGCCACCAAGCTGCCTCATGGGGCTGTCCTAAGGATTAATGTATTAATCCAATCCCAGGCACATCAGTCATTAATAAAATTAATAATATGGTAACAACTAAGCCCACTATCTTTGGAAGTAACTCCTTACTAACTACATTAAACCCAAACTCGAGGCTCTGGAAAAGAGGATGCCAGCTGGGAGCTAAAACGGCAGAAAGGAAGGTAGCTGGAGTTGCTTCTCCCTCTTGTGTCCCTCTAGATTCACTGTAGGCTCTCCTCTCTGACCTGGGAACATGCCCGTGTGACCCACATCAACAAGCTCCCTCGGCCCGGTGGCTTCCAGCGGCCTCAGTCAATGGATTGAGGCAGGGGCAGGAAAGCAGGGTCAGGATATTAATTTCCCTGGAGGGTCCCCATGACTGGCTGCATCCTTTGAGCAAAGGTCACAGCTCCTTCAGGTGCCCCTCTCACTCCTCCAGCAATCCTGTGTCTGCTAAAGGTAACTCCTTCCTCACTCAGGCCCAGGGGTGGGAGTAGCGCTCCACACTGCTAGCCCCAGGGTTCTGCATTCTCGTGGGAGGCTTAGCCCACACTTCGTAAATATTGCCTTTATTAAACTCTGCTCAACTTACCCAATTTGAGTGTGTAATCTGCTTTTCTCTGAGACCCTGGCTAGCTGATTGGTTCTTTTTCAGGTTTCTCCAGGCTCTGGCCAGACAAAATCCTTCTCTGCAGAGGATGTTGCTCCAGGGTCCCAACTCTGGTCATGGTCCCCTTTTCCCTCCAAGCTTCTGTACCCCAGCAGTTTTCTCCAAAATCCATCAGACCCCCAAACACGAGAAGGGACCTCTGATGAAAGCATCTGAGCCATCCAGCCCCAAAAGGAGACAAGCAGGGTCACATCTGGGTTCCAGAAGCATCCAGAGAAGCAAACCACTGATTTCTGCACACCAGAAAAGATACCTGAGAGTGTATATTTATAGAAAGATACATAGAAATGGACAGATGGCGTCTATCTATAGATACAGAAAGCGCTGTTAGAGAATTGTGTAGGTACGTATATATCTGCCACATCCTCCCCCACAACCAACAGCACACAATTGCCCGGATCTTGGAAAACGACACTTGTTTAAGTGGTTGGTTCCCTCCCTAGCAGTTTCCAAAATGAGAAGGATGGTCTCAGGGATAGTCCTTAAATATGTGTATGTATCGCTGTAAAGGAGAGAGAAGGAGGAGAAGGAAGAGAAGTGGATTTTCATGTTGTGCATGGCAGAAGAGATGGGACTGCTTTGGGGAAAAGGGCTTGATCCCACTGGAAAAGCGTGAAAGACAACTCCAGAAAAGACAGCTAAGGTTTCTAGGTTGGGACATAAAAACACAACAGCAAGACGTTCGCACTCTGCAGTCCACTGAAATCCCTTGTAGCACATTACAATCAGTTAAGGGCAAAATAAAATCAGAATAATACTAAGAGGTAGCAGCTGTTTATCTTCTCGGAGATTTCGAGGGTCTCTGGAAGCTGGGCCAGGTAAGGGTGCTCTCCTGGAAGAGGCTGGGGTGGGGCAGAGTTGGGGCTGAGGGCTCCCCGGTTCTGGGAAGGGTGTGGGCTGATCCGCACAGATGCTGCAGCTCCTGAGCCTCCAGGGAGCCTCTGCCCATTACAGGCCACTCCAAACCAGAGTCATTTCCTGGGCTAGTTATGCAGTCCCCACAACATATAAATAAAAGTTTAGTTCTGTGTTTCCATAGATCTTCTACATGAAGGCTAGCTAAATATTAGTGGAGTAACAATAATTATTAATAACAATAATCGTCATAATAACAATAATTAATAGAATAATAATGCCTTGGGGTGTCGGGGGTGGGGTCCTTCATACGGCAGGGTGGGGCCCTGGGGAGGGGCTCTATGTCTGGTAGAAGTGGTGGTAATGGTGGTGATGTTCGTGGTGGTGGTGGTGCTCATGTCTCTGGACCGGCTGCCCGGCCTGGCTCTCATATACCACCACGGCGGGCAGCTCCCGCAGGTGCTCCCGCCCCAGGATGGGGCCGCCCGAGGCCAGCGGTGCCTGTAGGCCCCGGCAGCCCTGCTGGCTCTCCTTGGCTCGGTGCTTGTGCTTCTTGTGCCCGAGGGGGGCTAGGGAGGGGAGGAGGGCCGGGCTGGCGGCCAGGTGGGCGGAGGGGGACACCGCAGGGAAGGCGGGTCCCAGAGGGGGCTTGTTTCTTGCCCCTCTGGCCACGTGGCCCACACCCACGCTCTTGCCCTGGGCCTTGGGGGACCTCACAAAGTGCTTGCTCCCGTCCTGGGTGCCCCGGAGCCGTTGCTGGAGCTCTGAGACCTTGGCGATTGGGGTGTCAAGGAAGTGGAAGGAGCCCGGGTCCACGCCTTGGGGCTTTCGGTGTGGGACGTGGATGGCTTCCGGCTCATGGGAGCGAGACCGAGTGGGATTGGAGGTGCGGGGGGGCAGTTCTGACTTCTGGGCCACGGAAGGGGAGCCTAGGAACCAATTCAACAGACATTTAATGAGCACCTACTGTGTGCTGGGGCTTGTGCTGTACCCCAGACATCACCCCCACCCCCAGTTCTCCAAGACCAGAGCTACCTCCCAATGCCCGACTGCCCCTCACTGCCTTGCAGGAAAATTCTCTGAAATGGAACTTTCCCATCTGCTAAGTGGGAAGAACTGGTTCTTCGGTAGGTCTTAAAAAATACTCTCCGAGAGGGAGCCGAGAAAGAGAGATGGCAGCAGAGACCCCAAAAACCATCTAAGGTCACTGGGGCAAGAAAGAACTCTAAGTATATTGCTAAAAACATACAGAAGTAACTCCTAGAGGAATTAAACATATGAAGAGAAAGGGGAGAAGGGAGTTGTGGGAGTGAAATTGAGCAAGAGGTCAACATAGGTCAAGGCTGATAAAGACACAGCAGCACTGTACCTAGGGAAACCGAGGTTCTCGCTGGAAGAAACAGCCAGGAGGGGTCAAAGTGGTTGCCCAGGGAACAGGGCTTGAATGGGCTGGGTTGGGGCACGGAACTGTTGTTTGTCATTGGGTGCTAAGTCCTTAGATACTATTTGATTTTGTTCAATTTCGTGCATGTATTACTTTAATTTTGAAACCGTTTTTAATGTCACTTTCTCCAAGAGTCTTTGATCTGTCCCATAATAGCTGTCTTCCTGAAGCCTGGGGTAGCAGTGAACACCACCCGCATGGCCCGCATGGCCCATTCAGCCACGCCCTGCCCTCATCGCCCATCGCATGGTGCTCGAGTCCCTTACCAGGCCCAAACTGGGACGTGTAGTTTTCTATCCCGGCGAGATCTAAGTAGTGGTTTCTCCTCTCGATGTTCTCATCTACGCAATGGTGGTAGCAGCCAGACTGCTCCAGGCGGCTGTCACCCTGGAACCTACGGCAGGGGAGGAAAGTGAGTGGGGTAACACCGACCACCAGGTGGGGGCAAGTGCACAGGCTACTGGGAAGCCCCCAGAACGAACTCTGGACCGTTCATTCATTTTCTTCTTGGCCTTTGGAGAGCGTGGGGAGGAACAGCCCTCTCTACAAGCTGGCCTCCATTTGCTTCCCTGCGGATGGAGAGACAGACCACAGACCACAGCCCACGGCCAGACTTCCCCACAGCTTCTGGGAGGAGTGGACGGGAGTTTGCTCTGAACAGGTTCAAAGCAAAAGTGAGAGATTATTGGCCAACTTCTAAGAATGCCCCAGTGCCAGGCTTCAAGCCGTATAAATGTGCCCATTGCAGGTAGGTAGCCTAACCCCTGGTCTGGTTCCCCAGGGGGTACGGGCAGCAGAAGCCCATTAAACTGTTGGAGTTGTGCCTGGCAGACCCCATGACCAGCCCTACGGCCCAGGATGGGCCTCACCAGTGTATGAGTGTGTGTATGCACACACACTTGTGACTAACACAGTGTGTATGGAGGGGTGGGGAGAAATGTTGCCAGAGGCTTCTTTTTCCCCTGCAGGGCTCGGGGCTCCCTGGTCCTCTCCTCCAAAGACCTCTTTGATCTGCTCCCATCCTGGCTTCCTTCCCACACAACACAGTACCACCTTCCTCCAGGATCTCTAGCCAGCCTGGGTCCCTCTGATTCTCAGCCCTGTCCCCACACCTAGCTGTGACCCTGCTTGAACTGTTTTTTCTTTCCCCTAAGCGAGTACTAATCCAGCTCCGGTCATTCCCTTACCATTTACACTAGAGGTTAACACAGCCTCACGCCTGCCGTGTTACTGTTGTTTACTCAATCCCTTTCTTTAAACAATCTCTCTTTCCTTTCCTCCCTTCTTCCCTTGCAGCTGAAGAAATAACAGGTGAAAATTAACTACAGCCTCATAATTCCTTATCCACCATTCTGAAATCCAAAAAGTCTGAAAACCAAGATTTTTCATAACCCACATGGCAGCCAGGCCCACCCTAAAGGGATGGGAAGGTGTTTACGGTCTCTATCTCACTTAGTGTGAACATCCAATCATCTCCCAGTAGAAACAGCAATGCGTCAGAGCCTGATGCACTGCTGAGAGCACCTTTCCAAAGCCCCAAAAATGCTGGACTCCAGTTCTGTCTGCCCAAGATGTGTTCCATAAAAGGATGTGGACTACATGTAGTTATTTGTTAAGATTTTCATTTGATTTATGAGTCTGTACATCAAAAGCGTTGGCTCCCTGAAGAGAACACAGACCAGAGCAAAACTTCTTGCTCTGAATCCTTCAGATGCAGGTACACAGCTGGTGTTCAACATATGCTTATGTGCACCATGCCCACATACCTGAGCGGGGCTCGCTGCTTCTTCTCCCAGCTCCGCAGCTCCTCAGTGGGCTTGGTCTCTGCTCGGGGCCTTGTGCTCTGCAGGTCTGAGTCCGGCCCGAGAAGCACAGGAGACACCAGGTAAGCCACCTGCTCCCACCCTCCTCAGGGCTGCCTGGCGTGCAGCTGCTTTGCAAGGTCACTGTGGGAGGGTTCCCCGAGCTGGGGCTAAGTAAAGGGGTCTCAAGGCTACCTGCCCTGGACACGTCCCCATCTAGCCTCACCTCCTCCCCCAGACTCCCCGTCCAGCCTCACCTCCTTCTAGCTGGCCTCAAGGCTTGCAGACGCCGTGCTGCCCACAACACCAGCCTTTATACCAGCAGCATGGCTCTGCCTATGTGAGGCCTCTCACCCAGAATCCCTTCCCTCCCCTTCCCACCCTTCCTCCTACCCCTTCAAGGACCCATTTGAACCCCACCTGTCCACAAAGCAGCTGCCCCAGAAAGCCCACAGGTTCCCTTCCAGCCCTCCCAGGAAGGCTCTGGTCCTTCCCAAGAGATAGGAGGACGCTGTTTCCCAGGCTCAGCCCTGCAGCCCTCACCGGCCTGATTGACAAGGATGCTCCTCTTGCTCTGGCTGCCCTCAGGGGCCACAGTGAGCTTTACCCGCAGCATCTTGCTGGATGTCGGGGAGTGGTTGACAGAGGAGTCCACCACCTCATAGATGGTGTGCAGCAAGCTGGTGATGTCCTGAATGGGAGGGAAGCAGAGACCCATGTGGGGTTTCAGTCACAGGGCCTTGAAAATAGAAACCAGAGGGCCCGGTGGATGCTGCAGGCCTGAACCCCTCTGGCTGCCCCAAAGCAGAGCCTAAGGCAGAAACCTGGATGTCTGAGGTTCATTTGGGAAGAGATCCTAGGAAGCAGAAGTGAGGGAGCAGGGAGAGAGAAGAGGAAGATCCCATAAGAGAAAAGGAAAAGAACAGGTTACAGCCAGGGGCAACTGGGGCTCAGTCATACTGGGGCCCTGGAGGGAGAGTGTGGAGGCCACCTTGGAACAGCCTCATCGAGATAGAGGGAGGGTTTAGAAATGGACTCTCATTCCTCACTGCCTGAGAGCTCCCCAAGGATGTTACATTCCCTGTACTTTGGATTTTTGTTTGTTTGTTTGAGATGGGGTCTCACTCTGTCACCCAGGCTGGAGTGCAGGGGTGTGATCATGGCTCACTGCAGCCTAGAACTCCCAGTCTCAAGCGATCCTCCGACCTCAGTCTCCCTAAGTGCTGGGATTACAGGTATGAGCCATGAGCCACTGTGCCCCACCCTCCCTTGTGCTTTTGGGTTTCCCTGCAAGGGCCAAGCCAGCTCCCTGTACCTGAGAAAGTTCTTACAGTGGGCACTGTCCACCATGGTAGCAGGTGAACTTCAAGGTGGGCCCAGGGAAAATGGGGTGGGAGCATCAAGAGCATCCGCTTCGGGTTTGAAATGAAAACTGGAAAGGGAGACGTGTCCCTGCTATGGACTGAATTGTGGCTCCCCACTCACTTGCAAATCCACAGGTTGAAGCCCTAACCCCCAATGTGATTGTATTTGGAGTAAGGAGATAACTAAGGTTAAACGAGGTCATGAAGGCAGGACCATGATAGGAGATCAGGGCCCTTAGAAGAAGAGGAGAGCTGGGATATGGCTCACACCTGGAATCCCAGCACTTTGGGAGGCCAAAGTGGGAGGATCACTTCAGCCCAGAAGTTCAAGACCAGCCTGGGCAACATAACATTCTCTACCAAAAATTAAAAAAAAAAAAAATAGCCATGTGTGGTGGTGCACACCTGTAGTCCCAGCTACTTGGGAGGCTGATGTGGGAGGATCACTTGAGCCTAGGAGTTTGAGGCTATAGTGAGCCGTGAGCACACCATTGCACTCCAGCCTGAGCGACAGTGCAAGATCCCATCTCTTTTTAGGAAAACAGGAAGAGACACCAGAAGAGGTCTCTCCACCAAGTGAGGACACAGTGAGAAGATGGCCGTCTGCAAGCCAGGAAGTGAGTCCTCACCAGGAACTGAAGTAGGTGGCACCTTGGTCTTGGACTTACAGCCTCCAGAACTGTGAGGAATAAATTTCTGCTAAGCCACCCAGTCTGTGGTATTTTGTTTTGGCAGCTTGAGCTGGCTGAGACCGTCCCTAAAAGATAAACTAATCTGTGAGAACTTGACCAAATCTCATCTCTCTGAGCCTCAGGTATCCCTCAACCAGAATGGGGTGTCCACACAATGTTCCCTGGGTGTCTCAAAACCCTTCTGATTGGGGCTGGAGGGCACAGATTCCCCTCACTAGGCCTTTTCTGTCTGGGTATCTGCTGCGGTCACTTGTCTGGTGTTGGGGTGGGGGGCAACGTCCTGCTTTAATTGGCATTGGAAACCTCTGGAGAAGACATTTTTTCTCTATGAAGCAGACGCATCCGTGGCCAGTTACCTGCCCAGCAATCCTTCACCTCCTGCCTGTTAAGTCCTGCAGGCTGAAGCAGCTGAGGCAACCCCAGCGCAGCCCCAAACAGGCAGGCATGTAGGTGGGCGGCCCAGAGTAGTGGGGGCCAACAGAGGCGCTGACCCTATCCTGGGAAGCGTGGCGGCTCAGCTCAGTTGACTTGTCCTCTGACAATGCAGGTGGGAGGGGGTCACACAGAAAAGCCAGAAATCCAGGATCTTCTGTTAAATCTTCAGAATCACTGATATTGACAACTGATTTTTACCAAAACCCTTTGGGGGACCAGACCAGAACATCTGGGGGCCAGACTGAAATTGTGGGGGCCACAAGTTTGAGACCCAGGCTCCAGGCACTCCCTAGCTGGCTTGCTCAGTGACCCCACCTCTTCCGACGAGGCCCACAGAGGGCTCTCCTTGTTCCTCCTGTCCTTCCCTCTGGCTTCTTCATAAGGACCTGTTTGCTCACTCTCTCTATCTTGGGCAGCCCATGAAGGAGGCTTCATTATACAGATGAGGTGGCTGAGGGACACTCACTTCATCCCCCAGACTTCTGATACCTTAGAGGACCTGGGGCCCTGGTGTCTAATCAGGGTGGAGGTGGTCCCAGCAGACCGAGGGTCTCAGAGCCTATGTGCTCTGGCAATTCTAGCTTGAAAATCAACCTCACTGACTACACAGGGCCAGACACGCAGGAATCGGTGTGCTATTTCCTGCATGAACGAACGCCTGAAGGAGGAGCAGGTCTTCTTTCTGACTGGAAAGCTGGCCCACACCCCAGCTCTGGGCTGCAGATGCGGTGAGGTGGGAGCCCATCCGCCCTGGCACTCAGAAGGCGTGGAAGGGAATCGTATTTACAGCCAAATTTGAGGAGTAGCATCAGGGCTAAAAATAGACCAGGGAAACACCAGACTCAAACACCTCCCTCCACTCAAAACCACTCCCTGGCTCCTCGGTGGGAGGAAGACATGACCCAGTGAACACTTTCTCCAGGGCCAGGCTGGGCCACCTTCCTTGGAAACTCTCTCCCTTCCTCTCATTACCAAGGCAGTGAAGGGCAATGCAGGTTGAAGCTGTCATCAATCATCTTACTACTGCCAAGGGGAGAGTCTGCCTCACAAGAAGGGAAATAAAGCTGAGGAACAGAGGAAATAGACTGAGGAAACAGAGCAGTGATGAAAACCTTGTCCTGAAGCCACCGAGCCTCTGGGTCAAGCCATCCATGAAGTCAGACCCTGGACCAAATTTCAGTTACATGACCCAATGTATTGTATTCCTTTTTTTTTTTTTTTTTTTTTTTAATACAGCAGTTGGAGCATGTATTCTGTCACTTACATGTCAAAGAGTCCTGGGTGCTTAAAAGTCACAACTTCCTCCTCCAACCAGGCTCCTAAACCACAGCCTGAGAAGGAGGTGACCTTGTTAACCCAGAACTCACATCTGGCAGCATAAAGGTGAACTTCTCCTGCACTATCCACAGAGCTCCTGCGAGATCTGGAGGAGCATCCCAGAGCTGCTGGCAAGTGGGAAGAGAGGACACTGAGAGGCAGTGCCTGGGCTGAGAGCAGGGGAGCTGCCCTCCCTCCCTGTCCTCTTCCCACTTGCCAGCAGCTCTGGGATGCTCCTCTAGATCTCGCAGGAGCTCCCAGCAACTCCCCAGCTATTACAGCTTTCCCTGAGGGGCAGGACCGATGCAGGGGTGAGAAGTGGCAGTGGCAGGGTACTGTGCCCAGGCCCTGTGCCTGCGGGCATGATGCACAGCAAGAGGCCAGGCAGGTGCACTCACCTCTCGGGTGACCTTGCCGTTGTTGTCAAAGTCGTACAGGGTGAAGGTCCACTCCTGCCGGCTGTCCTCCTCCACAGACACATCGCACTGGAGCTCCTGGATGCAGAGAGATGGGTGGGGCTGGTCCCCTATCTGTGGCAACACTGACTGGGTGGTGGAAGCCTGGGCCTAGAGGCCAGGCCAAGGGGCGGCCACCTGTCCTCTGCCCTCCCCAGACCTTGAGTGGACAGGGAGCACCTTGGCCAAGACAGAACTGGCCCAGGAGGGTAGCCAGAGCCCAGGCAGGGGAGGTTTGGCCTAGGGAGGGATGCCTGCAGGGGTGCCTGGTGGTCTGTGGGTCTTGAAAGACAAAGGAAACACAGGGGGTCTGAGAAGAGGCGCTGTGGTCTCAGAAAAGCTGAATTTGGACCAAGGGCAACAAGCAACTAGAAGGCAAGGGAGCATCAACTTGGGAGCCCCAGCAGCATGCCGGGGTAGCACAGCATGAGCATGAGGAGCTCGGGTGTCAGTCAGCCCCAGGCCCCAACCCCTGCAGGGCCCTCCACAGCTGTGTGACCCTGGGCATGTCACTGCCCTCTGCTGTGCCTCAGTTTCTCTTTGTATACATTATGGAAAATGGTAGCCTCTCTCCCACGAAGTTGCTGGGAAGATTAAATGCCCCACCCACATGCCCTCAGCCCAGCTGTTTCCCTGCACCTGTGGTGGGGACAGTTCCCAACCTCCCGCCTCATGTACGCTCTTCTGTCTCAGGGCAGCCCTGAAGAGCCCGGGAAGGAATGCGCAGAGGCGATGGAGCAAGGGAGGGACAGGAGGCAGTGGAAATGCCGGGCCTCCTCACCCCTCCCTGGGACAAATCTGAGCGCATGCTACATGGCTCCTAGGAGGCTCTCCAGCAGGCAGAGCCCACAGATGAACCCAGACTTCGCTGGCTTCCCTCCTTCCTCGCACCTGTGCTCCAGGATTGCCTCCCCTACACACTGCCTGCTCCCAGTGCCTGTGGCCAGGTCTGCTTAGGGGAACTGGAAACAGGAAGTGGAGGGTAAATGCTGGTGTCGTTTACACCTGTGCTTGGAGCACTGTCTGGCACATGGAAAAGCTCAATCAATAGTAGTAGCTATTACTTTTGCTGTAATGATTAACATATTGTTTCATTGAAATAGTTATTTCAATCAATAATCAATGAAACAATCATTTCATTATTATCATTTTCAGCAACCTGAAGTGTCTGACCCTAGGGAATATGAGCTGCGAAGCAGTGAGCTGGTCACCGGAGGGCTGTGTGCAGAGGCTGGCTGAGTGTCAGACGAACAGTTCTAGGAAGCATGCTGTTCAGCAGGAAAGGGCTCCACAAACAGCCTTTCAGATCCATAAGATTCTATGGAAACAAGACCATTTTGTTCCATGGCATGCCAAACTCCACCTCTCCTTCCACCATCAAGAAGGTGGCATCCGGCTGGCCTGGCAGGAGGAAGGCTCAGCTCCCCAGCGAGGGGAAGGCAGCTGTCTGCGAACACTAGGGGAGTGAGCCCCAGCACAGCGTCCTGGCCCTGGCTACTGCAGCTCTAAGCCATTTCCCTCCAGCAATTCTCAGGTGCCCACGCTGAGTTCAAAGCCAACCTTGCTTCAGCCACGCCCGTTTGACACCTGCCAAGGGCCCTCATTGCTGCCCAAGGCACTGTTTCATGTGGCATGACACACGTGCCTACATACACACCCCTACACACACACACACACACACACACACACACACACGCTTACCCCTAAACATGTACCTATACACACGCACACCTACACAGGTACACCCCATACGTGCACACCCTACACACACATACCTATGTACACACACACACACACACACACACACACACATAATACCATTTACCTGTTTCCAAGACAGCTTGGGTCTGAGCTTCAGAAACATGAGTTCAGTAACTCTGGCCACTTGCCCCACCTGTCACATGTGTGTCTCCTAGGCCTCTCCCACACCCCATCTGGGCTTCTCAGGTGAGTCCTGCCTGTGGGCCACAGCTCAGTCCCAAGCCTGCCCCTCCAGAAGCAAGCACACTGGGGCTTCCAGGGAGGCAGGATGCCTGGGCCCGGTCTTCCTTCTGCCACTGAGTTTAGCCCTGGGCTTTGCCAAGCTCCCCAAAAGACCCTACAAGGACCCAGGTGGGCTTAGGGTGGGGCTGGGCTCCAGGAAGAAGCTGGCAGCCCTAATTCCTTCTAGACACTACCTGTCATCCTCAGGCGAGCCTTCAAGCCTCTTGGAGGCTGGAGTGCTGGTGTGCTGTGTGGGGAGAGCAAGCTGTGTGATGTGGCCTGTGCAGGATGGTGGGGCATGGCAGGGAGATGACACTGGAAAGGGGATAAGATCGGTCACCAGGGACCCTGCACACAGGGCGTCTCCCCCATGTCCCACCATCCAGCACAGGCCACATGACGCGGCTCATTCTCCCCACACAGCACGCTGGCACTTCAACCTCCAGGCCCTTGCTCCTGCAGCTCCCTCTGCCTGAAAGACCCTTCTCACCCCAAAGGCTCCCCTGTGCACCCCTCTTCCAACTCCTACCCCTATGCTCAGAGCCTCACCCACCTCCCCAGTCTCCACCGCCAGCTGCTGTTCCCTCCGCCGGGCACCGCACAGAGCCTGGAAATGCCAAGTGTCTGTTACCCCACACCCCTCGGCCTGACCCCCACCCCGGGCTCCCAGATCTCATCTCATCACTGACTGTGCAGCCACTGGGTCTGGGGCACTCAACTGTCCCCTGGTCACATGGTGCACTCCTTGACAGCAGGAACCACACCCAGTCAAAGCTGGGTCCCCTGGCAATTAGACAGTGCCAATCAGCACTGGTTAGAAAGAGGGACACCCTCTTAAGCACTTTAGACCTTTAGGCGCATGAACTCATGATGCTGACAACAGCCCAATGCAACAGACATCACCACTGTCCCCACCTTACAGGCCAGGCATGTGAGGCCACTGAGACTTTAGGGAACTTGCCCCAAAGTCACACAGCCACTAAGTGTATGGCCAGGATTTGAACCCAGGCCTGCTGACTCTAGAGCTATGCCCTGGTGGTCTCAGGAAGGCAAACAGAGGGAAGGAAGGAGGGAGCAAGGAGGGCAGAGCAGTGGGGAAGCTCCATGCAGCAGGCCTGGGCCTGGCTCTCAGCACTGGGCACTGTGCTGGGTGCAGAGGGGCATGCTACACTATCAGGCAGTGGGGAACAGACCGTGCAGCCACTGGGTCTGGGGCACTCAAGTGTCCCCTTCTCACCCCAAAGGCCCTTCTCTTCCCAAAGGCTCTCCTGTGCACCCCTCTCCCAACTCCTACCCCTACGCTCAGAGCCTCACCAACCTCCGCCCACAGCCTCTGCTCCCTCCTCCAGGCACCGCACAGAGCCACAGAGAGGCACATCCCTGGTGTTGCCCACATGGGGAAACTGAGGCCCAGAGAGCGTCAGGGACCTGCCTGTGCCTCCTGCTCGTCCATTCCACCTGAGAGCCCCCGCAGGCACCCCCAGAACAGCCTCAAGAGTTGGAAGGGAAGGTTTCATCAAGCAAACTGAGGTCCAGAGAGGTGACAGCAGCAGCAGGGCCAGAGTCCTGCCTCCCTCGTCTACTCTCATGCCTTCTCCCAGGCTGCTGGGCACACCTCGCATGGAGGGGCTGGGACCAGGCTGAGCGGGTGGGCAGTGGTGAGTCCCTGGGGTCTGCCCTGAGCCAGGACAGCCCCAGATGTGGCAGGAAGAACCTCCCACAGAGGGTGCTATTCATGCAGAGGAAGGGCCTTCCTGTCTGGAAGGGCCTCAGCTTCCCTCCTCCCAAAGCACAAAGTTGAGAAAACCCATCTCATCTCCCTAGGACCCAGCACCAAAAGGAAACTTACTTCAAACTTCAGCTGCTTCTTGGAGCCTGGGCAGGGTTCGCTCACTCTCTCCATCTTCTTCTCATCTCCGCTGCCCAGCCCGTCGGTCTTCTCAGGAGGCAGGGCCACTGTGAGGAAGGGAGGCGAGGGAGCATGAGGACCAGGGTCCAGACGCAGGGCACTGCACTCACTGCACCTTCGTCTTCCAGGCCTGGCCTGGACATTCTCGCCAGTGGGCTGGGCCCACTCCTGCCCTGCCCATTTGCTGGGGTCAACATCACACTACTCTGGCACCTGGTACTGCCTGGGGAGACCCCCCGCCAAGCATGGTACACCCATTTGCACTGTCGGGGGCCCCCTCAGGCCCCTACCAGCCTGTGACTTCTGCCCTGTGGAGGCACACAGCCGCCCAGAGCAGCGTCAGGCCAGAGGGTAGATGGATGAGAGTGGAGGGGTGCTTCTGGGGCCTGGCGAGGGAGCTTAGGAACCATGGCCATTTTCTGCAGTCTCACTGCCTTGCGCGTGACATTTTGGCCTCCTCAAAGGTGCTACCACCTGGGCACAGCCTACGGCACCTTGGTGGATGGCCAGAAGGAGTGCCAGAAACAGAGTTCAACTGGGTTGGCACTTGTCCACATATACGTATGCACAAGCACACATGCACACACATACACACGTATGCACATGCACACACACACATATATGTACACTCATGCATCACACCTGCTCGCACACATATGCACACTCACACATGCACACACACTCGCACATACATAAAAGGCATCTTCAGGGAGCACACTCATCCTGAACCTTGCATTTGGCCTCTGCTCACCCCAGGTTCCCCCTTCTCTGCCAAAGGTCACGGCCCTGTGTGTGGCCTGCCAGGAGCTGTGGAAGGGTGAGTGTGAAATCCCAGGACCTACTGACACTATTTTCCTGAGGAAGCCAGCTCAGGGTAGCACCATCCTCCTTGACTTAGGACCCAGACTACAAAGTGCCATCAATTCTTGGAATGTCCCATAAGCCTCCTTTAGTCCCTTCTGCCATTTTGTCTCTGTCTGATAGCGGGGCTGGGGTTTGCCGGAGCCATCTTTTCCAGGCCACACTCACAGCTCCTCTCCTCTGATTCCCTCTGTTGCCCTGGGGTAGTAAATGTGTTGTCCTGTTTTAAAGGTGAAGAAACAGCCTGGCTGCTACTCCGGGAAGGGAGCCTGGTCCTTCTACCCTGACCCAGATGTGGCCGGGGGGTTATGTGAGGAGCTGAGACTCCCCAGTCAGAGAGGAAGGCAAAGCAGGACTTTCTTGGGAAGTCAGCAGCCTGGAGAAATGAGGCCGCTGGGCCAGGCAACTAGATGGGGGCTTTGTGTCTCTCTGATCCCACACTCCTACCACACTCACACACCCCAGCTATGCAAGCAAGGACCTAAGCACAGTCCCTGGGCCAGGCACAGTGGGGATGCCCCCAGTGGGCCTGGGCCCCTGCTCTCCTGCTCTGCTCGGTCCTGCGGGCTGGGAGCTCTCTCCTCTGCAGTTAACGAAGGCACTTCCCCTTGGCGCCACTGTACGTAAAGATGAGGCAGCAATGACTAAGCACTTGCTGTTTACTAACTCCATCCTCACGAAGCCCTGTGAGGCAGTTATTATGATTAGCTCCATTTTCCACATGGGAAAACTGAAGCTTGGAGAGGATAAGTGCCTTGCTAGTAAACGACAGAGCTGGGATTTGAACCCAGGCAGCCTGAATCATGCTCACAGTCAGTCCACTAGGCTGCCCCTCCATGCCTTTCATAGCTCAATTCAGGAGACTCGGTGCTTCTCTCAGCCTGCCTCTCTCTGTCTAATGGAGGCCGGCCAGCCAGGGCAGTGGTCATCTCTACCTGGGTTCTGTTCTCTGGCACTGTGTGACCCTGGGTGGGTCACATACCTTCTTTAGACGTCTCAATTCCCCAGTTGTAAAATGAGGAAGCTACCAACCCCTTCCCCAGAGGATTCTTGTGTGGATGCAACAAGCCCTGATCACAACGGGCTAAGACCTCCAGCGCACTAGGACTGGCCATGAGTAGTAACAGTCAGGGGACCGATGACCCCACCCCACTGACTCCTGGGAACAGGACAGTTAGCAGCTAAGTTTTCTCAAAACGGAGGCTTCAGGAATGCAAATGGACACAAAAGCATTATATCAAATACACACAGCCTGTGCAGGCAGCTTTGGACAAGGCCCTTGACTTTTCTGGACCTCAGTCCCCTCGTCTGTAAAATGGGAACATGACGGCCTCACCTTCACAGGGCTATTGGGAAAGGGCAATGAGGAAAGGGCTTACAGAGCACAGTGGCCGGCACTCAGTAGGTGCTCGATAAATGCTGGCTTTGCCAAGGATGTAGACGGGCTGTGGTCCCAGCTGACAGCCCAGATCTCAACGATCCCGCTTGACCCCAAACTGCCCCACTGGAGAAACCAGAGTAATATCACGGCCTGCAGCATCCTCTACTCACCCCTCCCAGGCAGGGGGAAAGAAGAGAAAGAAAAAGAAGAAAGAAAAACAAAGCCCAGATCCATCTTCAAAGCTGCTGCCTCTCTCTGCAGAGGTCCTGGCTGGAGATGCAAGCTGGCCAGGCTTGTCGAAACCAAACTTCAAGTTCAAAGGGAAGTTATCAGAAAACCACCTTCAGGTTCAATGTTGCCTTTCATGTTCCACTTGATAAAATCCAAAGAAAAGGAACCTCTGTCCCTGCTCTCTCCTCCTCTGGAGCACTCTTCCCCCGCCATGCACGGACAGCCTGTCTTCCCTCAGGACCTCCCCTCTTCCTTTCTCCTCACCTGAAGGGGCTGGAAAACATCCCCCTCGACCCCTCATATGTCTTCCCCAAAGACTACGGTGGTCCAGATTGTCCTCTCTTCACCAGTGGCTCCCTCATCCCATCCCAGCTCAGAAGGCCACCCAGACATCCACAGGTCAGCTGAACCCGCCAGGGGCCCCTCCCAGCATGGGGCCTGTGATCCATCCTGCCCTGGGACTGTGGGGGTCAGGAACAAGGATAGTCAGCACTCTATCTCCACCAAAGGTCATTCACCCTCCTATTGTCCCCTGCACAGTAGCCAGAAGAGGTGGCAGAGAACTGGCCATGCAGACCCCAATGCCAGGGGCAAGGGCCGGGCCTCATCCACATATGAGCCCTCTGAAACTAAACTAAGTCAAGCCACCAAGGCCCCCAGTCAGCCCCATGCAGAAGAAACCACCCTCCACCCATCAGTGAGCGCAGGCTCATGGGAAGCAGGAGAGGGAGACTGGTGCTCGCTGCAGGCCGCCCAGGTCATGCCAAGGAGGATTGCAATGATGTATTTCTGTTGAGATCAGCTTTGGCACCAGAGTCTGAGTCCATTCTCTGCCTCTCATTCTGGTTTAGCCCAGCCATTTTTCCCCTTGGGAAATTATCTTTTGGGGGCCTAATATCAGGGAGTACTGATCATGCTGATCACTCTTCAACTGAAAGTCTGAGGAACTGCAGGAGACACTGCTCATTTGGAAGAAAAAAGGAAAGCAGAGGACCAGATGGGAAAAAAGGCCTTTCACTTGCCTAAGAAGCACTTTTGGGTGACTTAGAGCAGGAAGTGGCAAAGTGCATTTGCTGAGCCAAACCTGGCCCACCTCCTGTTTCTGTAAATAAAGTTTTATTGGGACACGGCCATGCTTATTTGCATTGTCCATGGCTTCTTTCACTCTATGACAGCAGAGTTGAACTGTTGCAACAGAGCCCACAAAGTCTGAAATACATACTATCTGGCCCTTCAGGAAAAAGTCTGTAGATCGATTGCTGCTTTAGATGTGTGCTACCCTCCACTTCCAAGCACAGGATATGTGCTTGAGGAGCAGGGCACAGACAATTTCACCTGTAACTTGCCTGCTTGGTTGGAAACCCTTGTGCAGTACACAACCTGCCCAACCATACAGTGGCCATGGAAGAAAGAAAATGTCAACTCTGCTTTCTTAAAGCCTATTGTCAGCTCATATGAATCTGGGGGAGTGGTACTGGTTTGAAGAGCTCCTTCTCTTTGGAAGCTGCTCCCTGTCCCTCCTCACACCATAGCCACGAGGAGTCGGCTTGCTGTGTTTACCAAATGACGGTTCTCTCCCCATTAGCTCCCAGCCTGGCAGCTCTCCACCCTCAGCAACTGCCAGATTAAATGCATTACTTGACCATCTTCACCCGGCTCCCTTTGATGTTCCCTTCTCAAGCTTCAAAATACCTTTTGGAGGGAGATCAGACAGCATTAAACAGAATTACTAATTAATTAAGCAAAGTTAAATTTTAAACACTGTTTGTTGTGTTAGCCAAAAGCCTGAACAGAACAGACTTTTTTCCTCCGCTGAGATCAAAGACAGTCTCTTCCCTCTCCCCTCCCTCAGTTTAAAAAAAAGGGAGGGGTGGAGAGGAAGAGAGAGCGAAAGAAGAGAGTGAGGAAATACCTGAATGGTGACAACTTTGATTGTGGGTCTAGACACCACCCCCGCCTCCCCATGGGCCCAATGGGAGGCTCCTTGGGGCTCGCATGCTGTGACAGCCACAGTCACTCGGGACTGTTTACCCCGGCAAATGGCAGTGACCCAGGGAGCAGGATGGCACGGCCCACCCAGCCCAAGCTGCTGACAGCTGGCGCCACCCAAACAGCATGAGAAGAAGGCCTGTGAAATAAAACAGACCCCCCCTCCTCAACAGTCTGGCAGGGTGAGCTCCTTGGGGCTCTTCCCCTTGGTCCGGGGTCACTTGGGGTCACTAGGAGACCGGCTCCAAGAAGCAGGCTGTGCACTGTACATCCCCAGGTGGTGCCACTCACATGACCGATACCCTAGATATGTGTATTGCTTATGACATCCTTTGGACAGATGGCAGAAAGGTGTCTTGAGGAGGGGCAGCTTTTTTCTGATTTGCACGAATGCATCCGGAGCTAGTGGGGTGCTGTCTCCCGCCGTTCAGTCTAGCACTTTATTCTGTACACTCCTATCTGGGACCTTCTGATTGCCTCACAGGAGCCTCCATATCTGCACAGCCAGAAAGCAAGTTTCTTGAGATCTGGGGCCCTCTAGGCCTCTGCTCCCGGGTTGCCCAATGCCTAGCGCTTCCCATCCGT